TAAATAATAGCATAGCTACTAGAAAACTAAGCTTAGACATTTTCGACGTACCTTTTGTTTTCCTCTTCGATTTTTTCTCCTCAGGCTCAGACTCAACCTTGTCAACCGCCTCTATTCCTTCTAAGGAGCAAATTTTTGTGATGGGTCTAGTGTTAATGGGTCTAGTGACAGAATATAAATAATAGCATAGCTACTAGAAAACTAAGCTTAGACATTTCCGACGTACCTCTGGTTTTCCTTTTCAATTTTTTCTCCTCAGATTCAGAGTCAACCTTGTCAACCGCCTTTATTCCTTCTAAGGGACAAATTTTTTGTGATGGGTCATATAACCATCTTGAGTTTTTTAGCTCTACCACTCTGACCTTTTCATCTTTCTATATAAACGTTTTCTACTTTTCCCATTGGCCACCTGGCTGGATGACCATTTTCATCTTTTAAGAGGACACTTTGTCCTTCTTTAATATTTGGACTTTCCCTTTTCAATTTGTTCCTTTGTTGCAGAGTATGCAAATACTCTTCTTTATATTTAACCCAAAAATGTATTTTCATTTTTTGAATTAGTTTCCACCGATCTAAATTTCCAATTCTTTCATTTTCAATAGGTTCAACTATTTCTAGCGGTGGTATACCGATCAAGAAATGTCGTTTTCTATGGTATACAATGGTCTTGAGTTTGAACATGGTTCTATTTGACATAAAAGCATTGACATCTCTTCCCTATTTCCCCGATAATCCTTTTCAAATGAAGTTTCATGGATTTAACTCCAGCTTCCCAAATACCTCCGAAGTGAGGTCCTGCCGGGGCATAAAAGGCCAATCTATCCTATCTTTTTCCAGCTGTGGTGCAATCATCGTATTTAACATTCTTGAAACTCCTACAAAATTTATCCCGTTATCTGAATAGATATTGGCACATTTACCTCTTCTAGGAATGCATCCAAGGTTAAATCACTGACCATTTCTAAATGTATAGCTTTGGTGACCATACAAACAAATACGGCAATGTATCCCTTATACGTCTTTATTCCACGATTCTTGGAGCACTTAACGAATCAGGGACCTGCATAATCTATTCCTGTATTTAAGGATGGGTAAAATTTTAATTTGAATGAATCTTGTTATGTATACTATAACGCGGATAATTTTTTTAAGGCTGGAAAACTTCTCAAATAAATTATGAATAGGATCATCGGATTTATTATTTATAATTGAATTTATCTATATAACTTCTTCTGTTGATTGCTGGCAAGGCCAGTGCTTTTTGGATTCAGCTAGCCAGGTCGGATCCTTCCACCAAATGTTCTTCGTCTAATAAACTTGACCTTACTATCACCATTGTTAATCCATGCCAAAGTGATAGTAGAATCACTCCATGCATAGACTTCTACTTGATTATCAATGGATTCTATAATTCTTTTGATCAACTCACTGAGCAAAAGCGCTGCACATAGCTCTAGTTTGGGAATAGTTTTTCTATTTTTAATAGGATTGACTCTACTTTTGCTGGTTATTATGTTTACAAATTTTTCCACCTTAGCATACACTACTGGATTCTTGGAACTTATCCATCCGGCTCGAAGGACCAAAATGAACGGGGTGTTAGAAATTTACAAGAGGAAACGCTATAGTCGAGTGCCACGACTATAAGATACCCGTTACTGTTTTACACAATTTTAAAATATTAATTTTGCTAGTGAAAATTCACAATGCGCCACCTATTGTCCGAGGAAGTATGTTGAGTATGCTTATAGTGACGTCACTGCCCATGTGAGGTCTTATAACCTTAATTTCTTTATAAATAGCGAAATAATGGTCCGATTTGAAAAATGTTTGATAAAGCGATCGATTTTAACAGAAATAAGTTATACAAAGTCAAACGAAGGCATTCATAATAATATTATAGACGCCACAGTTTTCCGCGATTTGTGGGCGTTAGGGTGGGCGTGGCAGGATGCTGTAATAATCTTGCGCTGCGTAGGGACCTCAAGAATCTTAATGCTTAATCTGATCTTTGTATCTTTTATAGTTCCTGAGATCTGAACGTTCATACGGACAGACGGACATGGCTTATTCGTCTTCGCTATTCATCCTGATCAAGAATATATATACTTTATAGGGCCGGAAACGCTTCCTTCTGCCTGTTTCATACTTTTCAACAAATCTAGTATACCCTTTTACTTTACGAGTAAAGGGTATAAAAATAAAAACAACCGCTTTCATTGAGTTCTGAATTGAAACTGTTCTTTATTGTCCCTGCTTAAGAAACTTTGATGAAAATCTTATTCTAATCTTATATATGGTGTACGCAGAGACCGCGACTGCTTGCCTGCGCGGGAGGGTTATCTTTTGACCCCTGCGCCGGCACTCTTGGTGCAGCGTGATATTTTGAGTAGGCTCAAGTGGCCTAGACTCACAGATTACAGATAGTGCTAACACTGCACCCTTGTTGGTTTTCAATAGCAGATCATAGCTTATGGCTCTTAATCGATTTACATTGTGACACTCGAAACATGGCGTGCACTGAGCTCATAAACTCTTATATTTTATCAGTGTTCATCTGAACACCTGAACTCTCCTTAAAATTCCTTTATGCCTCCTTAGCTCGTTCCGAGTTCCTTAAGTGGGGCAAAATCTGGGGATGTAGTTGATATAAAATCATGTCGCACTGGCGGCGCATCTAGCGTACCTGTGCCCCGAAAGTCCAAGTCTTGGGTGTTTCCTTTTAGGTACTCCACTGATGAGGATTTATTGATTGACGCGCAAACTTGGTGTCAGCAGCGGCGGCGATGAGTCCCGACTGGGTCTCGGCGGCGCCGGCAAAAAGATAAGTTTGCGATTTGCAGAAAGTTTGAGGTAAAATATATCCAAATCAGCAGATGCAAATTGTCTACCACTTTCGCTGGCGGGAAGCTCACTCACGATTTATTATTACGCACTTTGCCGAATTTTCCACTTCATTTTTGGATTCAGCGACACAGGTTACGATCGGCCGCAAGTTCAGTGAAAAAGGAATGGCCGCCGGACATAAGTTTGAACAACCGACTCAGGGACGGACATACGTGGCAGTAATCGATGATCTGGCAACGTTTTTAAGCTTGCTATCGATATCTCCCTGATATGGCCCCACTGATCTATGCCTGATCCGGTAACGTCAATTGATCAATATCGGTCTACAGCTGAGATAAAAATACTAAACAGATTTTGTTTAAGCTAATCAGGTATGCGCGTCTAGCTTTAAACTCGGTTAGTTTCTTTGCCAACAATATTTTAAGAACACTGAGCTTAGCAGACGCTACAGGCGCCGTTACAAGTTCCGCCTTCTTATCGCGCCGACAGCGAATCATATATCAGTTGACTCCACCGCGGTGCACCGGCTTTGTTTGTTCATTCTGCGAAGCAGCGCTATACTAAAACCAGGTTATGACAAATAATGCTCAGCAGTTGGGAAGCCGCCATGTACAGAGTCTTCTTTTGTCTTTCAGTTTTGAATACTTGGTGCCATTGACAAAAACTGATCGCTCAAATGTAATTAGATGCTAGCAGTTTGTCTTTATATCAGGACAATCATGCTGACATTCGTTGATTAATCCGTTTTCTATCACAGTATTGTAGGTTTCCGTAGGTATGCAATGATCACTCTGAGGGGTGATCAATTAATACCGACTTCAAATCATTATAGTTAAATACGGTTTGGTCTATTGTTTGTGGCAAGTGGCAAGTGAGACTGTGGGTACCGTATTGATTAATTTGTTTATGTTTTTGTGTTTCGGATATTATTTGTTTATTGTTTCACCCATTTAATCATAACTTGGATTTTTGTGTAATTTCGAGGTCAGAAGTTCAAGTCCATTATGAACACGGTGGATAGAGAGTTCAAAGTTTGTTGTTTTTTAGCTGAGTGCGTGGAGTGGTAATCAGTCTTATTTGTTTATACAAAAAAGTTTTACAACGAATTTAAAAAATTAAATTAAGCGGTTTCGGTAACTATAACTGTGAAAATGTTTGGATAGGTTTAATGATGTCACCAAAAAAAATAAAATTTCCCATCTGTTCACGCCACCTCTGATGCTCTCAAAACGCGAAAAACTCAAAACTTAATAGTTTCAGAAAGTGTAACAGCTAGACTATTAATGAACATATTTTAGAGATGTCGCAGTTCAAGGCGGCTTATTAGGATGTTATGTTGTGATTCGCAGTGACGTTGCCGTCAGTTATTGAGCATGTTTTTTTCTGGCAAAAGTGGTGCTTGTAAAAGTATTCACTGCGTCAATTTTTGCTTGCAAAATGATTATATTAAAAAGTGGAACAGGCAGTTACAGGTATAAAATAGATGCACTCGACTATAATTCTTATATAATTCTTATTAAAGTGTTACTTATTTAGTTTTTTTGCAATGCGGCAATTTCAGCCATCCAAACATACGTCTTCCCTTTATCGTGAATTGTTATGAGAAACCTTTATGTTTATCATAATAGTAGATCTCATTATTGTATTTTTAATGTTTTTATTTTTTTTAATTGTTTCCTTAACTTTTTATTATTAAATAAACTGTTTCCCCCACACAGCTTAAATGTTAATTAATGTAATGTTAAATAATTCACATTCTTATAAGGAAAAGTAGTTTTTTGCAGTTGTGGCCTAGTAGCTTGATGAAACCACATTAAGCTGCACTTTTTATGATACAGGTAACAGGTACCTTGTAGTCGAAACATTTAACTGTTTGTTTTATGCACCTTTACTTTGACACCTCCCACCGCAAAACAGTTCTATGTGGTGGGAGGTGTCAAAGTACTCGTTGATGGTGAGTCATCGTGCATAATATATTTATTTTCGTTCTGTTGAACTCAATAGCTCCACAGACTGATGGCAAATTTAATCAATCAAGTCAATCAAAAGGAAAATCCCAATAGGTTAATTTAATTTGAGAGCAAACGAGGGAGAATGTTTTACATAAAAAGGAAGCGCCATCGTTGTCGGTCTGCAGTCTGCCAAAGGCAAGGTTAAAGAATGGGACTCAGAAGATGCATGCACGTCATCACCCATGTTTTGCCGCTCTGGGCGTTGGCTATTTGCGTTCTCATGGTGGTGATGGTCGCAGCACAGACAACCAGTCTAGACATAGCCAAAGAAGAACGGCGACTACAAGAGTTGGAATCCAATTCGGGAGCGGAGACGGATCCGTTGAACGGCAATTTAGCTAGAACAACATTGTACCGTTTTGGGGAGAGGCGTAACCAAAAAACTTTAAGTCTAGGTCGTAGGCTTTCATTAATTTCTCGCCCTCTAACACCTTTAGAATTAAATCTCCTGATGCATAATGATGACGATCAGGCAAAAGCTAAGAGTTATGACTACTGCAGTCCCATGAGACTTAGCAAAAGAGGAGGCGACGATCAATTTGATGACTACGGCCACATGCGCTTTGGCAGGTAAACCCATAGCAACAATTTGACAGAGAATAGATATTATTAATAGTTATGATTGTGTAAACTGTAATATTATATATTGAAAAAACATTCAAGTAATAAATTTTCGCATTCCAAAAATATGTTTTTCGTGATTTTTGGTTTCAATTTATACTCCAAACGTAAATGAGCTTATAGTGTAACATAAATCATTAAAGCAAAAATCATAATGACAAATTTCAGAGGCTATTATAATATGAAAAAATATGTTTATAATTTATAATATATTTAACATTTCTGTTTTTGAATCTATACAGTATGTATACTAAGAGTTGGAAAGTTTGGACTTAAGATGCTGATTATACCCGTTACTCGTAGAGTAAAAGGGTACACTAGATTCGTTGAAAAATATGTAACAGATAGAGGGAAGCGTTTGCGATCCTATAAAGTATATATTCTTGATCAGGATCAATAGCGAAGTCGGTTGAGCCATGTCCGTCTGTCCGTCCGTCCGTATGAGCGCTGAGATCTCAGGAACTATAAGAGACACAACGTTGAGATTAACCATGAAGATTCTTGAGTTCCAGGGACAGCGCAAATTTATTACAGCATCCTGCCACGCCCACTCTAACGCCCACAAATCGCAAAAAACTAAAATTGCTGAAATCTCAGGAGATATTGGAGCTAGAAAGTTGAAATTCAGAAAGTACAATCTTTACATGCTAGCGCATCTTATAGTGGTACTACTATCCGGCCACATTCACCCATACGCCCACAGGGCTCAAAAGCCGGTTTTCGAATTTTCTAGAAAAGCTGATACCTCGGTAACTATAAAAGATAGAAAGTTCGGATTTAGCTTGTAGGTTTTAATGGTGCTCTCAATGTGAATTGTTTTTTTCCGATCAAGCTACGCCCACTCTAACGCCCACAAAACCCGAAGAACCAAAAAGGCAAAAATCTCGAAAACTATAAGAGCTACAAATTTTTGCTTAGAAAGACGTATTTGGGAGGTGCCTATGCAACTTTCCATGAAGTTGCATCCGGCCACGCCCACAAACCGCAGAAAACTGTGGCGTCTATAATATTATTATGAATGCCTTCGTTTGACCTTGTATAACTTATTTCAGTTAATATCTATCGATTTACTAAAGATTTTTCATATCGGAACATTATTTCGCTATTTTTAAAGAAAATAATGTTATAAGGCCTCACACGGGCAGTGACGTCACTATAAGCATACTCAACATACTTCCTCTGACAATAGGTGGCGCCTATGGCGCTTATGATATTAAAGATGATACATTTTTTAATCAAAACAGTTCATTCATTTCCAGTGAACTTAACCCCTTATATTCTGGATTCCACAATCTTTTCCGGGTGTGGGTGTTTCATATTGGTGTACGATTAACATTGTAATTATATGAAATATTAAGTAAAATATATGGTTTAATTGAACTCAAAGGGTGAGAATGTTTACTTTTGTTCATAACTTAAAGAAATAAGACCTTTAAGTTCTTGATTTCGGGTTTGGCTGTATAAGACGCCTAAAATTGTCTAATCTGGGTAACTAGCATGCTAAAATTCTTCATTCACTTTATGTTTACGTAAGTGTCAGCTTCATCCTTCAATGCAAAATGTACGACCGATTTATTGTGAATTCAAATTTATATTTCGTAAGCAGTAGGTGTCGATAATAAATAAACGTTTAAGTTGGAATATATTTAAGAAATTTTGTAAAACATTTAGATAATAAATTACAAACGTCTCTGCAAGTTTTTAAACATGTCTTAGGTGGTTCCGGAAACATTAATTTAAAGCTAGCCAATAAAGTTACTAGTATTCAATATCCGCTTTACGCGACTGTATAGTTTTTCTTGTTTTAATTTGAATATTTTCTTTTAAGGATTAACCTAATATGTTTGATTTCATTAGCTGCTTTACGGTGAGTTCCGTAAAAGTGAAAACAGTATTATTTATTAAACTAAACATTCCAGCATGCCGGGAAAATTCCAAAATGAAACTCCGCAGATACAAGCCTATTGTTTTTATACATGTTTCTCTTTACTTCTTTAAAAAGTATGTAAGAAGTCTGTCTGTCTGTGTGTCTGTCTGCACGTTTACTTTGACACCTTCCACCGCAAAACAGGTCTATGTGGTGGGAGGTGTCAAAGTACTCGTTGATGGTGAGTCATCGTGCATAATATATTTATTTTCGTTCTGTTGAACTCAATAGCTCCACAGACTGATGGCAAATTTAATCAATCAAGTCAATCAAAAGGAAAATCCCAATAGGTTAATTTAATTTCAGAGCAAACGAGGGAGGATGTTTTACATAAAAAGGAAGCGCCATCGTTGTCGTTCTGCAGTCTGCCGAAAGCAAGGTTAAAGAATGGGACTCAGAAGATGCATGCACGTCATCACCCATGTTTTGACGCTCTGGGCATTGGCTATTTGCGTTCTCATGCTGGTGATGGTCGCAGCACAGACAACCAGTCTGGGCATAGCCAAAGAAGAACGGCGACTACAGGAGTTGGAATCCAATTCCGGAGCGGAGACTGATCCGTTGAACGGCAATTTAGCTAGAACAACATTGTACCGTTTTGGGGAGAGGCGTAACCAAAAAACTTTAAGTCTAGGTCGTAGGCTTTCATTAATTTCTCGCCCTCTAACACCTTTAGAATTAAATTTTCTGATACATAATGATGACGATCAGGCAAAAGCTAAGAGTTATGACTACTGCAGTCCCATGAGACTTAGCAAAAGAGGAGGCGACGATCAATTTGATGACTACGGCCACATGCGCTTTGGCAGGTAAAGCCATAGCAATATTTTGACAGAGAATAGATATTATTAATAGTTGTGATTGTGTAAACTGTAATATGATATATTGAAAAAACATTCAAGTAATACATTTTCGCATTCCAAAAATA